AAATGTTAAATGCTTATTTTACTAGATGAAAAATGGCAATCCCCTCCAAATGGGTCATTTTAATTTACTTTCGTTTTAACAAGAACAACCTAAAAACAAATATTTACAGAGTTTAGAAATTGTTTCAATGATATAGAGATACTTAATCAACCTTGACATCAGATACAGTTTTAAGCCAACTTCAAAAGCAAAATCTTTACGTATTTAACAAAAAATAATATATTTTAAAATCCTTCTTTTATCTCTAGCAGGTTTGGATGCAATGCCACCTGGTGGCACAGATAAAATCTTAACTGGACTTAGGCTTTTAGAAACTGAGCTGTTCTATGAAATATCAACCATCGCTTCTGACTACTCTAACCTCCTCCTGAACAAGTTATTTATCCCATAGTTTAGCAATAAATGATCATTTTTATTTCAAATATTTTAAGATTTTTAGGCAATTAAACTGTACGTATGCACATGACAGTTTCCTCAGTGTTTAAGATTCATAAAAGAAAAAACCATTTTTTTCATAAACCAAAATTATACCAAAGATGTACTTTTTAAAAGTTGAAATGTTTAAATATGGGGGAGGGGGTAAGATGGAGTAACCGAGTTGCTTTGTAAAATTACACTGTATAATTAATTCCATGGTAAGAATGTTTTTATGGTGTGTTTTGGTGACCTTTTATTACCATCAAGTTCACAATGCTGGTGGGCTGCCTTTTAATCCCTCCGCAGACAAAGGCCCTAAATAAACACAGATCCCTTCCTGGGAAAAAGTCCACTCTGGTTAAATGGTAAGGAAATGAGTAAATCATTAGTAATCTTTAAAGCCAAAGCTATAAACTCAAGTTACCTTAAGTTGAAATGAAAGTGTCCTGCAAGAGTTTCAAAGTTCTGTCACAGATAGAAATCTCCAGCTCTTGACTCCAGACTAGGCGCCAGCTGATAAACAAACAATTTAAGTCAAGAGCTGGAGAATTCCCAGCTTTTTCATTTAATGGCTTTGGCCAAGAGTATTTATTGCCTCCAGTTTTATTCTCACTTAGCTCTAAGAGGAAATTTAAACTCATCATTATCTTAAAGCCCCATATGGGTAGCAGTCAGCTCACCTGATAATAGCTCCTCTTACACTGTACTGGTTCTGAGTCTCTACTAAAAGTGATGTAATAATATAAACTAATTAACTATAGTTTTAGGTTGACTTTTTAACAGGCTAAATAAATTTTGTTCAATATACTTTACATTCCCACTTGGGATAGTAACAACTCCAAAAAGCTTAACTTTACAGTTTTCAGTACAAACTACCAACTAAAATGGAAACAGACAATGTAATCTCTCTCTCATTCTTTTGCATGCTCTGTTCTCTGGCTCCCCCGCCCTCCAACCCTTGTTCACTAGCTCTTGAATATTGCATAAGGTAACTTTTATGTACCAAATGTAGACTTTGCCTATTAACTTCAAAATATCCAGCACTGCTCTATTTCCTAACAGAGCAGAGTGCAAGATTTAAGATGTAAATGCCGAATCATGAAAAGCTGTTGATTTTATATGTGTACCAATAAGAATATAAAAGTTCAGTCCAATTAAAGACTGTGAGATACAATCAAACATTTCTAAATGCTGTTTTTAAAAGTTTGCGGCTGGGAGCCGTGGCTCATATCTGTAATCCTAGTACTTTGGAAGGCCAAGGCAGGCAGATCACCTGAGGTCAGGAGTTTGAGACCAGCCTGACCAACACAGTGAAACCCTGTCTCTACTAAAAATTCAAAAAATTAGCCTGGTGTGGTAGCTCATGCCTATGATCCCAGCTACAGAGGAGGGAGGGACAGGAGAATAACGTGAACCCAGGAGACGGAGGTTGCCATGAGCTGAGATCATGCCACTATACTCTAGCCTGGGCGACAGAGTAAGACTTTGTCTCAAAAAAATAATAATAATAAAAAAAAACTTGTTATTAAAGATTATAGGTCTTAAAGTCAGAATTATGTCGCTGTTATTATTCCTTTCTCCAAATTATCATTTATTTTTGGAAAAACCTCATCTCTACCCAGGATTTTATATGAAAATAATTATTTTAACTATCTGAATGTTTGCAGATATTTGACAATTACAGTAAACTAGGCTCCTTCCTCCAGCTGCTTATCTTATGAAAGAATGCTGCAAAAAAAATTTATAGTCTAAGGTAAAGGGTTAATAAAATATGCCATTAGTGAATAGAAAAATACTTTTCCTCCCATTTCTTAATTTTCACAAAGTTTTACAAACCTATCTTGGCTGGAAAAGCCAATTAACTACTTCATTGTCTGCCAAAACTAGTTTTCTATTCTTTCAATATATGGACATAGTACATTAAAAATGTTGGTCGCTTGAGAACCAGTATTATTCTCACACATAAGAAGAATTAGGGGAAATGAAATGTAACTAACATAAAATTACTTGTACTCCTGGCCTCGTATTAAGTTTCATTTTAAAAATCGCCCTAGGAATAATGTTCTCCTAGAGGCTGTAGTAGATACACAATTAAGATGATCAAAACTAACAGTCGGGCCGGGCGCGGTGGCTCAAGCCTGTAATCCCAGCACTTTGGGAGGCCGAGGCGGGTGGATCACGAGGTCAAGAGATCGAGACCATCCTGGTCAACATGGTGAAACCCCGTCTCTACTAAAACTACAAAAAATTAGCTGGGCATGGTGGCGCGTGCCTGTAATCCCAGCTACTCAGGAGGCTGGGGCAGGAGAATTGCCTGAACCCGGGAGGCGGAGGTTGCGGTGAGCCGAGATCGCGCCATTGCACTCCAGCCTGGGTAAC